ATGTACTTTCATACTCAAGGAGTCACTTATATGCCCATCTTCGTGTCGTTCGGCCACTGCTCCTCCTTCCTGGTACCATGCCTTCTGCTATAATTTGTTCCAATACGTCGTGGCGCTTGATATTACCAAAATATTGCAGCTTCCCAGTGAGGACGCTGTTTATTAGCCAATCTTCCTTGATTTTCAGATCTTTCAAGATGTCAGTATGTCTCTCAGTATTTCAAAAAATAAAAATGCGTTTGCACTCGTTTCCACTGTCTCATTTTTTTTTATATTCAGTTACTGCTGCTGCTATTACTACTGCTGCTATTGCTACTACTACCATCAGCACTACTGTTGCTGCTGTTGTTGCGTCTGCTGCCACTTCTTTTTTTACGTCCTCTTTTACCGATTCGGGTGTCGAGGAAGACATAAGGGCTTGCTTCATGGTTTTTAGGCTGCTTCGACCAAAGACACATCGTGGTACTGTAGTGTTTCTCTGATGTTATCGTTCCATTTTGTTCTTGGTCTTCCTTTTGCTCAATGTCCCTTTCCTCTTTTTGGAATATGCCTTGAATTGTCTAGCATCAGAAGGCATTCTCTCCAAGTAGGCAAACCATTTGATTTGCTGTCTTTCAATGTAATTTAGAATTGGTTCTGTGCTGACTATATCTCGTATAACCTCGTTCCTGATCCTCTTCTGGCCACTCCTACAGCTTTTCTCAGACACCTCATTTCCATGGTTACTAATTTTCTTTTATGTTTTGTTGTGAGTGGTTTTCTGGCACTGGTAGCATATTATGGTAATGAATAGGCTTTGTATGAGATGTCTGTGCTGATTGTGCTTGCCTTATGCTGTAAGAGAGGAGCTAGCTGGCCCAATACTTGGCCAGACTTACTGCATTGATTGTCCATTTCTTCGTCTAATTTACCATCTTCAGTGAATGTTGTTCCAAGATATTTTAATTCAGATGCCTGTTAATGTATTCTCTTATGCTATGTTTAAATCCTGCTTCTTTCTTCCTATTGACATTACTTCTGTCTTGTCGATGTTAATGGTCGTGTCATTTAATTTAATTTGATCAATTTGCAACATTCTGTAAAGACGATGGCGATGCACTCTCTGCTTGTTCGCCTCCCAGCACGCTGGACTGGCACTGGAGGAAAGATCAAAAGGACTCTTGCTAGCCCCGTAGCGGCTCCTCTGTTAAAGTGGTATCATTATTATTTTTAGTGGTGATCAAAATTTACCAGATAATTGAGTACCATCCGGTGAAATGTTTCGAGACATTTGGAAATACCGTCTCAAAGGCCAGACGCGATGGGATATTGACCCGTCCAAGGCGCTCACCGGGGAGACTATGAAATTATTAGGGATCGTCGTGTATGGCAAGACTTTGACCAACAAGTCAAAACATACCGACGTCTCCTACTGTCTTGGGCCTGGTACCTCGACAATTGTCAATAACCCCTATTTTAAAAAATGTCGAACCTGAGCAACGACCTTTATGAAGTAAAGATGTTGAAGAAAAAGACAGTTTGGGATCTCCCTCTCCAGATAGGATTATTTTTTTTTGGGGGGGGGGGGGGGTATACCAGTGCGCCAAATTTAGAATGTTAGATAAATTTATAGATAGGGCCGACTTTCAGCTCTGTGAGATGGACACAGACTCTCTCTCTCTCTCTCTCTCTCTCTCTCTCTCTCTCTCTCTCTCTCTCTCTCTCTCTCTCTCTCTCTCTCTCTCTCTCTCTCTCTATTTAGCCCTCGGTAGCGACAATATCTCTAACGTTGTTAGGCCCCACCTTCGCCCCGAGTTCTATAGTATCTACGATCAGTGGTTTACCTCTGAGGTCTGTCCTGCTCACAAATGTATTTTCATTTTCATTGAGGGTAACATCTTGTTAGACTGTCAGGCCTGCAGATATAGAAAACTGTTCTAGAAGAGAACCCTGGGGCTTTATAAATTAGAATAAGAAAGGTAGGGGCATGTCGGTGACATCAATGCAATCATCGATATACCTCTTTTAGAGCTTGGAGAGCCTACCGGTATTTTCATGACGTATCTAGTGCTCGAGATAGCACATGAAGAGGCAGGCATAGCTAGGTCTCATCGCGGTGCCTATGGCGGCGCCGCTGATATGGTTGAAACAATGGCCATTAAAAAGTTTAGAGTGAGCACTAACTCGGCCAGACGTATCAAAAGACCAATGGCTACGGCAGGGCTGACTCTCTGATCTAGGAAAAACCGCAACGCCTGAAGGCCATCCGAATATGGAATAGACGTGCAGAAAGAAGTCACATCTAAGGTGAAGATGCGGTACCTGAAAAAAAGGGGAACCGGATTGATTGAAAGACAGAGATAGCATGGCTAGTGTCTTTGATGTAAGAGAGGTGACCAACGACCAGAGGCTGCAAACGTTGTCTCCTACTCATCCTTATTTTCATTCTCCGCTTTCTGCTTCTTCTTCCATGTCGAAAATGACCACACACACACACACACACACACACACACACACACACACACACACGCACACAAATACTTGCAAACATCATTTCATCTCCTCAACAATAACAACTGTATAACTATACTTATGGACGTATTGCGTAATGAAAATATAATTTTGCGAATGTTCTACAACCCTGCGAGAAACTTCCGCTTTCACTTTTAGAGAAAGTGGTCGAAATTGTGCAACTGCATTACGTATTTTCTTGCTGATTTGTTGTCTTTCCTAGATTCCTATAAATCTCACAAGAAAAATCTCAGCAGTGTGCGAGAACTTTATTGAAAATCCAGGTATGCAGATGTGTTTACAATAAATCATATGTAATATAAATATTTCCTAATGCCTAGCGAATGCTTTGGAAAAAAAAAAAAATAAAACGTACAAAATAGATGCTAGTAAGTTGTAAATACCAGGGATGCTAGTGAAGTTGTAAGATGCTAGTGAAATTGAAAAGATGCTAATGAAGTTGTAAAATAGGAATGCCAGTGAAGTTGTAAATAGGGATGTTAGTGAAGTTGTAAATAGGGATGTTAGTGAAGTTTTAAAAGACTTTTATATTTCATAATATATTGGGTTTTAATTTTATTGGCTTAGAATTCCATACTTTATTTGGCTCTCCTCCGAACTTCTACCTCTACCCCCGCAGTATTGCGGCCTGAAATATCCGTTCGGGGCGCAGTTCAGTTAAAAATACGGATTTGTCGGAGTTCCCGCCAAGGAACAAATTGCGGCAAAACCAGGAGTACCTTACAATGTCACGAGACGCAATATTGCAGACGGATAGTGGCAGATGATAAAAGCGACTAGTGACAATGTCGAGCGTTTTTTGCAGATGATACTAGCAGACAATAAAAGCAACCGTTGACAATTTCAAGACATTACAGACGATGAGAGCGATATGGCGGGTTGACCACGCACTCCCACGCAGATTAGCAATGCTGTTCTTCGGATTGAAGATTTAGCAGCGGTAGATGTCAGACTTGTCGGCATGCACAAAATGCGATTAAACTCACCGCCAAGCGTATCCCCCACGCCGCTATGCGTGGCGCGGATGGGGGGCTAAACTAGGTGCCTGGGACTCACGAGCAAAGTAATTGGAGGAAGTTGTAGAAGATGCGGTAGCTGCCGCTTGTGAGTCCCAGCCATCTAGTTTCGCTCCTATCCGCGCCGCAGATGGTGTTATTTTAGGACAAGTACAGAAATTTTAGTATCTGGGCACATGAATAACATCAGATGGAAGATGCATAACTGAAATAAGAAACAGAATTGGACAGGCAAAAACTGCATTTTATAAAATGAAAAACATCTTGTGCAATATATCCTTGTCATTGAGAGTTAGAAAAAGAATTCTTGCTTGCTACATACATCCAGTTTTAACATATTTCATGTGAATCCTGGACAATCGGTAGGCAGGCCAAACAATTTTTAGAGGCCTCAGAGATGTGGTTTTACAGAAGAATACTTAAAATACCTTGGACAGCCAAAAAGAGCAACCAAGAGGTTTTGAAAGAGGGGGGAGCCCGAAGACAACTTATCACAGACATCAGAAGGAGACAGTCATCATTTTTCGGCCATGTTATGAGAAGAAGGAAAATAGAACATGTTGTGACCACTGGAAAGATCTGTGGAAGGAGGGATAGAGGAAGACAACGAGAGAAGATGCTTGACAGTCTTGTTGCATGGCATAGAGGTGTGTCGGCACACAAACTGATACATGCTGCAGGAGATCGCAGATTATGGAGAGGCATGATCGCCCACGCCAGTTGGCAAGGCACCTGATGATGATGATGATGAAAGGTTATGAAATTCAAAATAGGCGATTTTTGTTTTTCAGTAAATTCCTATAAAATATGTCACAGGGTGGATATTTTATCCAAACAGCTTCTTTCAGGTCAGAAAGCTGCTTCTTCCTCTCCCATAACTGTATCCACTATTTCTTTAATTCTACTCAGAATTATTTTAGTCTTTGACATTACTGATAACAGAGTAAGTCCACTCCAGTTGTTACAGTCAGTAAGGTTACAGTTCTTTAGAATTTTGACAATTATTCTTTTTTTCCATTGCTTTTGGGATGTTTTTGTCTGATTCTGTTAATCAAATCTTTCACTTCTTTTATGGTTATATCATCCAGTATCAAAGTTGATTATATCAGACCTTTTTTACTTCTGTGAAAGTCCTGTCAACCTGAAATCAACCAGGCCAGAATAAGACAGAGGCAGACACTACCACTTTGATCTGCTCCAAACCTGTATACATCACAGAATAATAACTGACACCTCTGTTATAGAATTACCATTGCCTATCAGTTTAAGACATTGATTGATTAGCTTCATTTTATTTATTTTGCACAGGTTCAGTCATGGTGCCCAGTGTTGCAAAGAAAGTCCTATTGGTCGTTGTGGGTCTGCTGGGAGGTGCCTCTGCATACTTTGTTGTTGTCAGGCCGTACATACAGAGAAAAAATTTGGAGACCTTTGAGTCGGAAGCTAAATTTATCTTTGAGAAGCGATTGAAAAATGAGAAGCAGTGAAGTGAGAGTACCTTCACGCACAGGTAATCACAAATGAAATAATACTTTTTGTTTCTTTAATTAATAAGTTTGAAAGGTTTTAGTTTAGTTTGTGAATGTAATAGGTGTTTGAGGACAGTGTATCAGAGTTGCTTTTACATCAGCTCTGATTTTCATAACAGTATTTGGCTGGTGTTATGAATTGAAAAATGTGTAGCAAGGGTGCTTGTGATGTTGTCGAGCTGAGAAAGAGGGTGACTTTCTTTGCTGTTCATGCATCTTTGTGACGCAGGGCCTGTCCTGTGTTGCAGGGTGTCACGCTTAGTCATCGGTTAGCAACACATTGTATGTTACTCGTCAGCGGCCAGTGATATCCGTGTTCTATATTTCACGATGTGAGCGCTTTTAACAGTCCCAAAACCTGTAGAAGTGACCTTAACCCTATGCCACAGCCTCAGCCTACGTCCTACGAGAGAGTACAGCCTACGTCACATGACTGCATGCAGCCTATAAAATAAGCTGCAAATAGTCATAGGACATCGGCTGTTGTAAGACATAGGCTTTGTCGTAGGGGGGTTGGGGTTAGGGCCAGTTATACATGCTTTGGGACCATTAAAAGCATTTACATTGTGAAATATAAAACACGCATATCGCTGGCCGCTGACAACGAGTAAAATACTATAACCGATCACTAAGCCTGACACCCCGCAACATACGATAGGCCCTGCAACACGACAAGGCATGAATGGCAAAGGAAGTCACTCTCTTTCTGGGCTGGACAATGTTACAGTAACCATAGTAAGTATATAAAAAGTAACAAACTAGTAAAATGACTTGCAAAAAAAAAAAAGCAGAATCTAATTTTACATAGGCAGATTTTTTACAGTGTAGCTGCAGTTGAATATTGTTCAGATGTCCGTCTGTATTATTGTAAACAAATTTTTTTGAGGTGTTTTGAATAAAGTGGTAAATATCTTGGCCGCCATGGCAACAGACTCACCGCAGCTGTGGCATCTGAACTACCATGGTAGGAAACCCACCTATAACTGTGGGTGTCCGGATTGCCATGGTAGGAAACCCATCTACAACTGCGGGTGTCTGGATTGCCATGGTAGGAAACCCACCTACAACTGTGGGTGCCTGGATTGCCATGGTAGGAAACCCACCTACAACTGTGGGTGTCTGGATTGCCATGGTAGGAGACCCACCTACAACTGTGGATATCTGAACTACCATGGTAGGAAACCCACCTTCAACTGTGGGTGTCAGGATTGCCATGGTAGGAAACCCACTTACAACTGTGGGTGTCTGGATTGCCATGGTAGGAAACCCACCTACAACTGTAGTTTCAGCTTCATAGCAAACGGGTCGCCCCATAGTTGCTCTGCTCTTGCAGCTCACATTGTTACCCCATGCACTCAGCTCAGAAGCTGGGCAACAAAACTATATCCTTCCAGTCTACAAATGGAGCAAAAATGCAACAGCCACTGTCTGGCAAAGGCAAAAAAAAGAAAATGTTGCCACGGCTACAAAAAGTGGCCGTGCCTAGCGTCCATTTTGACCTGAAGCATTATTTGACGGTTAATAAACGGTCACCCCAGCAGTACCCTCACTCTTAGCTGGGGAAGGGGCTTAGGACATTACATCCACCAGCAAGCGTCTTCCCTATATGACCTGACTGCCTTCGTTAATGACTGTTCACCCAACAGTCATGCAGTTCTTTGGCACGAAGGAGACTTCTTGAACTTGGGTTTCGGACTGCCAACTCCCTACAAGATGATATGTTATTTCCTGTTATCACAATCGACGTCACTGCACATTGGGCATTCCCATGTGTGTTCAGTCCTCCGTTGCAGCAGCCATTCCAAAGTACTTCTACTAATTGTTCCCATGAGAAGTTGGTTATGTTGTCTCCTATCTCGGCCTCGAAGACGGCAAAGACGTGCTTCACCATGCTTTACTCCCATGTCACACAATCGTGTTAGTGTCAGGGATTTCTAATTTTCCACTAGCCTAGTTCATACAGCTTTGATAATATCTGCTCTCTCCATGCTTTTTCCCGCAATCCTTAGTGCAGTGCTTGCCAGTTGGTCCGCTCGCTCATTTCCCCGTACACCCACATGACCCGGTGTGTAGATCCAGGTAACGGAGGTTAAGAGTGATTTTCGAATGCTTTCTACCCATTCATAGCGCATACTGCCTGTTGCTATCTTCTGAAGCATATTTATGGAATCTGATACAATAACTGCCTATGTGGCGGTTTGCTCAGATACCCATGCTAAAGCTTCAGAAGCAGCGGCTTTTTCCATGGTCATGCTTGATGTGGTTGTCTGGTAAGCGCCGCTGTTTTCCTGTATTGTTTTCCCCCTTCTTTGCGCTGTGTATGCCCATGCTGACCTTGATCTGCGCTTCATGGATCCATCTGTGTAGATGATATCTTCTGGGTCTGAATGCTGATCTATCAGTTTTCTTCCTTCTGTGTCTATGGCCCCAGGAATTTGATCCCGGCAGTACCTTCCGAGTGTGATGACAACTTTAGAGATGCCATGCATGTCTACTGGTTTATTCGTCCATTCTTTTTCATGACTGATCACGTCTAGGTCACATACCTGCTGGATTAAATCCTCAGCCTTTGCCAACCAAGAGCGGCCTCTTTTGAAACACGATCCTTGTGGATGGTTAACATCTGACAATACCCTCATGTACACCTTGACATGTGCGACTCTGTTTCTGCTAGTCATCGTCGGCAAACCCAGGACATGGCGTTGCAGGAGGTGTCTTTTGTGCAGCCGAATATGAGTCTCATGGCCTCATTTTGTACTCGGTCCAGTCTTTCTATCTGGGTTTTGCTGACAGTGAGGAGGGCAAGTCCATAGTCAATGACACTTAATACAAGCCCTTGATAGAGAAGGAAAAGTAGGCATTGTTCAATATCAGCTGCTGCTAACACCTTGAGTGCTGTCGGACATTTCCTGGCTCTAAGTTTGACGTTGTCTACGTGGGTAAAATTAACTAAACTTCCCATATACATAAAGGAAATGTTCAAAAATTAATCAAACAGTTTCATTCATTGCATTAAAGACACCTGATTTGTTTCCTTCCTTTCCTAAGTATTCAAACCGCTTTTTAGTGTAGGTGAACCACAAATAATTTGTTGCCCGACAAGGGTGCTGCGGTGAAAAAATTTGAGGAACGCTGCAGTAGTGGGTCATTTTGCGTTATGCTCATAGAATATAATATTTTGGAAATTTTTTTCTTTCATTTTACAGATGATCAAGTACTGATAGCAGGAACAGAAGGCTCCAGAACCATCTTAATCAAGTTGACATCAAATGTCAAAAATATTTACACGTCACAAATAAGCTTAGAAAAGACAACAGTGATAGACCGACAACCAGAAGCCTTATTAATAAAAGTAAGTGTCACAGATACGACAAAGCAAATTAAATATCTGTTGTCATTTTTCAACTCAAAAGGAAGAATTCATAAGGGAAAACTAACACCACTTAAGACTGCTCTGGTACCAACTACCACAAAGAGCCATGCTGAAGAAATACAGTGAACACAGAGCAAGGTATTTCAAGGATGATAGAACAGTAGCACCAAGAACAGCTTTAAAGAAATGAAAACCACCTTGTACAACACACTAGAAAGGATACACAGGAGATCCTTACATTAACCCCCCCCCCCCCTCCCCCTTCCCTCTTTTCCCACACTGATAAAGCAAAGGGGAAAGAAAAAGAAGAAGAAGCTCGTACTGCTGTAGAAGTCAAGATGAAACTATCTCCTAAGTACTGACAAATTAAACATTGTTAACTGTATAATTGAGATGTCTTATACGTATAACAGTGTTGTTTAAAGTTATATGACTGTCACAGCTTTTTACTTAGTAATTTTATAAAAATGTATGTATAGTATTTTATTTTTAATAAAATATAAATGTCATATAAATATTGCATGTGTATGAATTAATTTAAATGCCTCTTTAATTGCACTTGTCATATTTAACGGTAGAGAACAGACAAAGAGAGCACCCTAGTCCTCCAGGTTGGGAGTTGAAGCGTAAGGCTGACACCTCCATCTTCATTAAACTTTATCTCATCACGTAACAGGTATCCTCGATTTCAGATGGATTTAAAAGGACATTGGAACTGGATGCAGATGGCATCAGTATCTTTGGAGAAAATGAACTAGAGACTGTTAAAACACTGACTATCTTAAAAGAATCTGTTCAAAAAATGGGACTAGATATCAATCAAGATAAGACGGAATAAATTATAGTAACTTAACAGGGAAAGGATATGTACTCTGGTCACATACAAGTCAATAATATGAAAATTAAACAGAAACATAAGTATTTGGGTGCAGACTTCAACTGGTCCAACATGCTGAGAAAAGAAATTCAATCTAGAATACTATCTGAAAATAAAGTATACTATACTATGCCCTTCAACATCTGCTAGAGTCAAGGTTTTTGTCTCGCAACACCAAGATCAAAATATATAAAACTTTGATTTATGTTTTTAAATGGCTCTGAAACTTGAAGCACAGATAAAGCATTATTACACGTTTTAGAAAACATTCTTACGACGAATCTTTGGGCCCATCAAAGATGCAGACAGTGGGAATGGATATTAAAAAGATACAATGAAATCTGTTTAAATCACCAATGTTCTTTGGCATCATGAGAGCTAATAGACTGAAATGGTTGGGACATTTTGAAAGAATGTCATATGACAGAGAAGTAAAAACTATACACAAGGGAGATGCATGGTTGTAGACCATGAGACAGAGCAAGAAGACGATGGAGAAATCATGTCTAGACAAGCCAACAAACACTTGGTGTCACCAACTGGAAAGAGAAGGCCAACCAGAGAGGTGAATGGAGGCGGGTGATATCTGCAGTAATGAACCTCAAGGGCTCAGAATGCTGAAGAAGAAGAAGAATATTTAACGATGTATATTATGAAAGCTTTTTGTTGGTGTGGCCAGATTTAAAATTTGTGCTGAATAAAGAATGTTTCTGATGAATTAGATTACAGTTTTGTTTTGTCTACTAGTTTATTTAGTGAAAGTGAAGATGTTTAATTGTTTGATAAATCCAGCAAAGATTTATAAAGCCAGCATGGTCTTTATATATAAAAGTAGCAGTCTGGCACTGAGCTAAATACTTTGTAAACACTTTGGTCAGTTGTTTGCACCTAAATCTGTTCTTGTCAGTGTTTTCTCTATGCCCCTGTATTTGCAGTGGATAACTAACATTTGATCTGTTTCACAATTTAAGATAGTATCATAATCATTATCAAGTGCCTTGCCAGTGGGTATTAAATTGTCGAATCAAGGATCAACAGCACAGCACTCGGGACATTCCCATAAGCGCTCTATCCCCATCTTTAGCAGCAAGTGCAGAGTTCCAACTCTGATGGCAGTAACAGTCTGATTGTATATCCATCCCACCCTCTCCCTGAGTGTTGAGCGTCAGCCAGATCCCCTAGTCATTCCTCACAACTGCATTCTCCTCAGATCCTGATGATCTATTTTTGCCTCTGAACAGTTCACTCGCTCCCAAAGGACCCATACAATATCCGGCTTGTCATGCATCAATATAGCACCAGGTGGTACAGAACCAGCCAGTTTATTGCCTGTTTGTTTCCCAACACACCTGCTTCATCTGGAGAAAATACTCAGATTACACTAACTACTCGGGACTTCTGAAGCAATGCTTGCCACTCTGCACAAAGCATACCTGTCTTTATTTTCTCAACATGCTCTTGTTATTGGCAGTTTTGCTTTTCTAAATCTAATGAGTGCAGTGCTAAAGAATATACGCATTGATGGCAGACATTTTAGAAACATTAAAAAATGTATATTGGCAATAAAAACTATACAGCGTGATGTTGACTGCATCATCTATCCCATGCTGGTTGGTCTGTGAAACTAAGTCTAGCAGGATATGCTCGATGCAACACTGGCGTGAAAAGGGTCTTAAAAAACAAGAGAACCTTAGGAATTGACATCCAAATGTTCGATCCTTATCACATTAATCTAAATGATTACAGAGCTGTAAAGCTGGGCTATTCAACAGGTAGCCTGCAGGCTAAATCCAGCATGTAGATTTAGCCTGCAGATTGTGACCAGATGTGCATAAATGATCTTTCTATGCTGGCACTCGGCTCTCTGCTCTGTGATGATGCAGATTTCCAACATTTTTTGCCCTGAGTAAACTTGAGCTGAATCATCCTGCTAAATAGTGAAACTCAGTTTATTTATTCTACACAGTTAAGCAATAATTCAATATGCACAAGACGTGTGAGGAATATTGGTAGGCATAATGTAAACAACCTGCTGATAATATAGTTTTCACTTATAAAAATACTTCAGCTACAAGAAATGTACGACATGGAAAATTAAAGCAAAAGTCTTGATATGAGAAGCCGAAAAAAAGAAATGATTGTAATTACAAAGAAACAGTGATCTTCAATAATAATAAGAAGAAGAACACAGCAGGAGTTTACCGATCAGTAAAAGACTCCCTCGTTTGTTTTGGCCCATTATCCACCTAGACAATCTCAGAGGGTGGGGCGACCTGGTTCATGTCTCCAGGCCTCGGACATCTGCTTCACTTGACGGACAAAATACAACATCAAAGTAAATAGAATAGACTAGCACTTATAAAACTTTGTTAAACTTCACTGACTAGATTAAACAAACAAACAATAGAATAGCGAGTCAATACATTTAAGTATTTAAGCACCTTAAATAAAACAGCAAACAACATGTATCAAAGAAATTAAATATAGAATAGATTGAAGAGGATCAGCATTTTGCAGTAGGCAGTCTATCTTTATCAACTGCAGTGAAAAAGAGTTCATCATAATACGCTTATTGCTATACAGAGTCAGTGTTGATGTAGAAAAGTGAAAGAACCATCAGATGATTATAAAGTAAAAGGTGTATTGGGTATAAGTAGCTAGACCTATATTTTATAGACCACACAACACTGGTGGGTGATGTGGTCGAATAACGGTCGGTAAAGATGGCGGCCGCAAAATATCCTTTCGAGCCACAGTCACCTGACCTAATTTGCGGTTCTCCGGCGGTTTTCCGGCGACTACCGCCACCGCCATGAGTTCCGACGCCGCTAACGCGGCCTGGATTGGGGCTAAACTAGATGGCTAGGACTCACAAGCAAAGCTTCAGGAGATGCGGAGGCTGCTGCTCGTGGGTCATAGCCATCTAGTTTAGCCCCAATCCACCTGGCGTGGGGGACTTTGAGGCGGTGGCGGTAGTCGCCGGAGAACCGCAAATTCAGTCGCCGAAGAACCGCAAATTAGGTCACGTGACTGGCTCGAAAGGAAATTTTGCGGCCGCCATCTTTACCGACCGATATTCAGAGGATAGGCGACCAATCATATATTATATGGATGTTGCAGGCGATGTGGTTTAACCATTTGGTCCTTTCAATTGATTGTCCTAGAATTTTTAACCATATCTACTTCACAGTGTACCAAGCTTGAATGGACTTAAAATGAAGAACCAAGAATGGTCCTGGGTTGCACACGAGATACACTAATAAAAACAAGGAGGTATTTACTTTGGTTGACATGGTAAAGTCTAGACTGTCACTGTTGCAAGTCAGGGTCTACATGGGAGTTACCAGTTAAGGAAGACATCCACTGCATGGCCGTCTGACAGATTTAGGAGGAGACTGGTTGGAAAGAAGAGTCATGGATGGCATTAGCTTAAGATACCATCAAGACGACAGCCCCAGTCGAGCAAAAACACAGGGGTTAGGAATAAGCTGACACAGACACCCACAACAGCAGTTTCCGTCAGGTCATTGTCACATTAGGAAGAGAACTTAGAGAGTGGTGTAAAGGTGTGACAGAATAAGAGGTACAACAAATGGTAGATGAAAACAATGGGTTAGATGATGCAATAGTATACATCGATGGTTCTGTTCATCGGGGTGTAAGATCGGGCTGGGATTTTTGGCTAGAATGATGGGAAATATTGTGGCCGAACAGAATGAAACTTTTTTCAGTTTACAACTTCAAGCATAATGATGGAGGTGGAGGCAATCTTTGCAGCTCTGAGGTGGATAGCAGAAAATAAAGTTACCAGCAGAATTATTGTGTCTAATTCTCAATCGGTACTGCAGAAGGTTCAAAATGGACAAATGTGGACTGAGTGGTTACCAAGCATCAGTGAATCAACATTACAGAGAATAACGTGGATATAATGTCTGGGATATGCAGGAGTGCCAGAGAATGAAAGAACGGATTTTCTGGCTACTGAATGTTGTTGAATGTTGAATTAATAATCGACATCACAGAATTCGGGACACTCCTATGGGTGCTCCGTCCCTATCTTTAGCAGCAAGTGAGGAGTTCTAATTCCAATGACATCAGTAGCTGTTTGATTGTATATCCGTCTCATCATTCCCCTGAGTGTTGAGCGTCGGCCACATCCCCTGGTAACTCCTTGCAGCGCCATTCTCCTCAGACTGTAATGATCTATCACAATATCTAGCTTGTCACACATCAATTCACCACCAAGTGGTGCAGAACCGGCCAACTTATCTGCCTGCTCATTTCCTAACGCACCGGCATAACCTAGAGAAAATATCCAAAGGATGCTAACTGCCCGAGACCTCTGAAGTGATGCTTGCCATTCAGCACTGGCTACAAAAGCAATAGGAACACTCGCACTGGACAAGGGAGATAATCTGAAGACCATATGTGAACAAATGTTGATAGAAGACACGAGATTATATAAAAATTACATTTTTTATAATGTGTGAACTAGGAATTAGTAGCGGATCTGGCAAGGAGGGGCGTATGAGAGGAAGACAGTCACGTGTGTATAATCAGTGTTCTATATGAACAGCATTTACACCTTAAGACATTTGCTGCGTGAGTTGGAGCATCTATGGGTATCCCCGGTGTTCTGTGATGTCGATTCTTAAATCAATAAATCATATGTGAACACAAAAAAGCATAATAAATATATAGTCAAAGCCATTACACACATCAGAAAAAAAAAAAGAAAATCACATTATTTTTGGCATGTCGTGAAAGTGGACAAACCAGAAAGTTAAAAGGGGAAGAGAACTAGAGGGAAGACTGAGAGAAAATACTGCACAGTTTAGCAACAGGACATGGAAGAAAATCGGTATCAGAAATTATTGACAGTACACATGAAAGCGGCGTGATGCTGACCACATCACCCATCTTTTGCTGATTGGTCTATAAAATATAGGTCTAGCCCTATATGCCCTATTCGCCTAAAAGCGTTGAAAAGTCCTTTACTTTTTTTTTAACATATGAAAGGAGGCTTTAGACAGGCATGATTACCAATAAGAAAACTTCTTGTAGTTCTGCAGCAATGTGGTTGCCAATTTTTTTCAAACTAATGAAAGTCTCAAGAATTTTCATCTCAAAATGCTCAACTTTTTTTTTTCAATCTCTGAATGTTTTTTTTTTTTTAATTATAAATCTTTCAGTTGCTACAGATTGTTCTGAGATTCCTCCTATAATATGGCAAGCCCAGAAATATTTTTCCTATATTTGACATGTCTTTGCTTTAATTTGACTCTGGCTGTCTGAGGTATTTTCTGCATTTTTATGACTTCAAGAAACTGTTGTGTTTGCCTGTTTTTCCAGTTCATACATTAAAAAAAGGGGGATTCTGTATAAATAATGTGCATTATAATGTCTGTAATAATCTTTTCTAACTTTCATTGAGAAGGCTATTTTTTTTTTTTTTTTTTTCAATTTGAAAATGTGTGATGGTTGCAAGTCTTGCTTTCCCATATGTCTAAAGGTAGAAGTATAATTGTAACAATTTTGTTCACATGAACACAGTATTGACATGTACAACTCAAAACATTCTTTGATTGTTGTTAAAGAAATGTATTAAAAACTGATATGAGGTAACTGAAAACATAGTACATTAACATGGTTTTTTAGAAACACATTCAATATAAGATGGCATATTATGAAAGAAGGTTAAAAACAAAATGAATCTGTTTGTTTTTAAAATATTGAAATGTGTTATATAGTCATGTCTTTAAATCAGAAAATTAGATAGGATCAGGAAACAAATACATTTTTAGAAATGTAAACATAGCTGTTTTAAATTTTAAAAATTTTTTTTATTTTATGTAACTGTTTTAACTCATTTATGTTTTTGTTCTTTCATACATGAGTCCATATATCCTGATTTAAAAGTTAATGATTTCTGTGACACTTAAGCTTATTTTGTTATGTGCGAGCCCTCGCGCACGTATGCACGAGAGAGAGAGAGTAGTCTGGCTATGTAAGCCGTAGCAAATGAACAAAATAGTAACATGGCAGGAGACATAGCCCTTCACTCACACAAGTTTTCTCAGTGACTTGATGAGGCTTATCAGAGGGATATGGGTTGGACCAGAAGACAGTGGTTGATGCTCTGAGGCGGTCACTGCTCACAAATATCAGCTTTATTTTCTTGCCAGGCTATGTGGGTGTGCACGGAAATGAGCAAGCTGATAGGCTTGAGGTAAGGCTACTACTGTTGGGAGTAGTCTGTGAAATAACTGACTATATTTATGTATATAACGTTATCAAGTGCATTGCCAAAATTTATCAGTTTGTGACTGACACTTGTACATATAGTCTATCAATATTTTTTTTTTTTCACGTGGAATTGTCTTTTTCTATCTCGGACATACATAATTAATTATTTGTCACGTACTCTAGGTGTTCTTTCCTCATATTGTGGCCAAAAGAAATCTACCTCGTTCTGACGTTTGTGATAGGTGCACTTTGTGTCTTGTTTAAACCAACACTGTGGACTGTCTGCATAAAGAAAGTAGACCAGTTGACCCACTGCTGTCCTTGGGACTATTGAATGTTTAGGCTCAAATATTTTCCATGGTACAACTCTCGTATCACTACCCAAAAACCATAAAACCCTTTTTTTTTAAATCCGTCTGCTGCATAAGTTTAACCGTAGTACTCAAGAATCATGAAACTGTTTAATACATCCACTAACTTCTTTCAAATCATTTAGACTGTCTAAGAAATTGTCAGCATTTATCCATAGTACAAAACCTATGACTAAATTCTTTGAAAAACAAAGACTGAAATGTTTTGGTCATTTAATGAGAATGAATCAAATGATTCCGAAGATTCCAACATTCAGTGTACAATATGAAATTAGAGCAACAAGAGGTAGGGGACAATCAAGAAGAATGTGGATTGAAGGTGTCACTGATGCCTTGAGATTCCACAGCATACCGGGCAACTGAGCGCTCTCTAGTTCAGAAACCAATCACCTGTTAACCTGTAACCCCTAGCAACACAAAGCAAAAGAAGAAGTATATAGAATCATATCTATCAGGGTCTAAAGCAATTTCTATATTGTTTGTTTACTAATTATCCAGGGTTCATAGCCGTATGTTAAAACTGATTATATGTAAAATGCAAGAATGCTTTTTATAACCTCTCAAATAACTGAGACCTATTGTATAAAATGATAAAATATATATGGTGTATGAAAGAGTAGACTAACTGTGTGGTAGCAGTTAACACCAACATTCATAAAACTATCACACGCGGTAGCATACACTGACAATGTGATACAAAACAAAAAGTACACAGAAAGGATGGGTCCATGATAAAGTTGTTCTTTGTGATCCTGAATTGGGAGGTTCAGAAAATTCATGAGAATCTCCCAACTTTCTGATATCAGCTGTGGAAATACAGAGAAAACAGAAATGTATGTTTGCCATGAAAAGTTTGATGTTATCAAATAAATGCTGTGTGTGATAAATACAAAAGGGACATTTAATTATTATATAAAACTAATATATCACTGGTTTATAGACAATTTGTCTAGAACAAGAATGCCTGTTCAATCAATCAGGTGCCATCTCAACACTGAAAAAAGATTAGCTGCAATGGATCTCAAGCACATTCTGTCTCTTGTACTAATTGAACACTCTTGGAGACTGTTGTTCTAACTCTTGATACTTCCTCCCATTTGTTTTACTGTCTACATTGTGCATGATTACCTTTAACTTTTCCCCTCAAAATGGCATTTATAAGTATGATATGTCTTTTTAATGTGGCTTTTGCAATCACGCTGTTTTTCTTTTCATTTGTCAGCAACTGCTATTCTTTCCCAGTCTAAACAGAATTTCTTTATTCCAAATAAGATCAATATGAAAACATGAATTTGTCAAAATAATTTGGCAACACAGATAAATGGACAATATTTCTAAAACATCATTTTAATTGTAGCATTACTGGAAAAGGATGTAGATTATGACAGAAGTTAGATTGACTAGATAGTTAGATAGGCAGACTGACTTTGATTCTTTTAGAAGCTCAGTTGTCTTGTCCTTTGAGTTTTCCAGTCACAGTTTGTGTTGTATTTAGTGTTGCACTGATAAAGACTTTGGTTGAAACGTTTGGCTGTATTTGTGCACATCTTTTCCATTACCTTTGTCTAGCTTTGCAGTCTTGTAATCACATTGTATGTTGTCTTCAGCACTTCTACACATATTAAGATAATCATCTCATTAATTATACTGATATTTCTTGCTGAAATCCTACTGGATTATTGCAATTTATTCTTTTCCTTTTCAGCATTCCGAGCCCTTGAGGTTCATTGCTGCAGATATCACCCGCCTCCATTCATCTCTCCGGTTGTCCTTTTTTTTCCAGTTGGTGACACCAAGTATTTGCAGGTCTGTGTGGACATTATCTTTCCATCGTCTTCTTGGTCTGCCTCATGGTCTACGACCATTTATCTCCCTTGTGTATACAGTATTTTACTTGCAATTTATGGAGTTTATGTTTTTGTTTGCCCAGATAACGGATATGTGTGTTTGTGTAACATGTGGTTTGGTTTATTTTATATTGTACAGACTGATATTTGTTATTTTTCAAAAACTGTGCTATTTGCACTGCTATACAAGTAAGAGTATAATAAAACATGTTCAATGAATTAAAAGAGAGCTGGATTTCAAGAAAAAATGTTTTCTACACAGGCAGGATGCTTGAAGATGATGATGATGGAATTTGAATCTGCTGTCTTTAAATGACAAGTGTCTTGCTAATGGGACTATACTTTCAGCACAAAATCAGCTAGACATTCCTTGAACTTGCCTTTGTTAATCAAATCTGTTATGCATTTAAACAGGTAATTATGAAATATGGACAAAAGCTGTACCCAGCAGATTTTATTGGGCAGTAGGTCTTAGAAATGTATATTATTCAAGCACATGTCAAATGACAACTACACAAACATATCAGACCATAATACTGTGTGAGCGTATTACACAATTCTTTAGTGACTATCACTCCAGTTCAAATCTTAGTATAATACCTACAGCATTAAATTGATACGCCGTTAAGTTATGAACTATTTCTACCTCTAGCTCAGTTGCTTTCTTTTCTATATGAGTGCCAATCACTTTGTCCTCATAATATTTCAGTGGCCTCGCAGATTATTTAACTACATGCTTTTTTTATTCTGGTCTGGCCAATACATTTTGATTTGATTAGATATTTAAGCATTCTACAGGTTTTCTAGATTTTCTCATCAAATTTGTTTTTTTATCAAATGTAAAGTATAATTTTTGTATATCTTACTTTATTCTCTAAAACAAAATATATTATTTTATGAAATAGCCAGTGTCTTGTGCTGGCTCAGAAGAAAACTTTACATAAAAGCAGCTCTGTCTGGAATCCAAAGAAAGAATGTTATTTACACATAGAAGAATACATTAACTCTCTTTGGAATTATCAGAACCGCTCTAGCCGAGGGTCATCAGATAATGACCTGAAGTGAAGTGGCCACAATTTCAGTATCAGATTTGCTAAACACAAACCAATAACTATAAAGCAAAGAGGAAAATTAGCATAGATCCCATTGGTTCTCGTTCATGTTCTTGTTAATTCTGCTTTTGGTTTATTATTTAGGTAATATTTATTCAGTTAGTTAGTCGACAGATTATCCTTACTGCACATCGAACCTTTTAGTCCATAAGTGCTTGGATCTCCTCCTCGGTAAATCTTGCAGCGAGTAGCAGGAATCAAACCATCACCTGTTCGCACTGCTCACTCTTAACCGTAATACATTGCCTTTAAAAAAACTTATTATTATCATTGGCATAGCATGGATGACCATGTCATGGATCATAGCAGTTCTGTGCTGGTTTCTTATTCTTCTCTGGCTTTCTTCATAGTGCTCTTGTCTGGCCATGTTCATTTTAACATGTTTGCAGTCTGGTCATGGTTACAGATTAACAGTCACTTGGTGATCGCAAAAGTCGGGTATACCATTCAGTATATCAGTATGGGGCATGGGTCAGTTGCCCTTCACGGTAGCCTATCAGCTTTTTTTCCTTGCACTCCTCTATGCCCAGACTACCTCAGAGACACCAACCACTGTCTGCGGACCTAGCCCATCTCTATATTTCTGAGCAAACCCATTGAGTCACTGACAAAGCATTCAGGGTTCACTGTCTGGGTCTTTATTCATGTTATTTCTTTGATCACTGCCGTGACCTACATCGTCAGACTACTTGCAGTCAAGACAAAAGCACCAGAATCTTCCTTCACAACACTCCCTCCACCCTGAACCGTCATTGCCCACGAGCTTCTAGCATGCTGAACAACAGACCCATCTGTGTAAATGACAGCAACCCCCTCTAGATAATTTCTCGAAAATCAAAACTTGAATTTCGCCTCCTCCATGTAGCTAGAATTTGTTGTCAGCATTTTCTGACTAGTCGGATGCAAACAGAAACAGTTTTACTGCACTCTGTTGGCAATCGAACCCATTCCTCACCAGGTTCTATGTCCTCAAGTGAACACACCTGCTGAATAATGTCCTCAGCTTGACCCATCTATGTTTTTCATCTTTTCAACCTGCTGCCTTTTTATGTCTAATTTCACTATGCAGCGTATGTCGAAATCTGCATTTATTCTGTGGTAGACACATGCTTGGCGAATTTGCATTCTGTCTTCAGGGGTGTAAAATCAATAGGGTAGTGCATTGTCCTGCATGCTGTATCTCTTCTACACTCAAGCATGATGGTAATCGAGTCGTTCTGTATCCTTTCCATCGTCTCTATCTGCTTATGTTTGAGTCAGAAATGTCTTTGCATACTCTGCAACGGAAAGGACTAGACCCTGGTATAGAAGACACAATACTGCTCACAGTTTTCTGCCGCCAACACTCTTATCGCAGACAGGATCCGTTGGGATTTTATTATCACTTGATCTATGTGCTCAGTATAAGCCAGGCTTCCATCCAATCGCATCTTCGTGGATTTCATCGTGTGCGTTCCTTCCACAATCTCGGAGCAAAGACCTGCGTTTGATGATGGAGTGTTGACAGTGTGGTTATTGAAAGAGGACTCAAGTTCACTGTTCAGTATGGAGATGAGAGTGTCTTTCCTATTCTTCACATTTATATTCCAATAATGCTAACCGTTGCGGTTTCCACTGCCAGCTGCGAAAGATATTTTGGTAAAAGGAAACTCATTACTGATTATTTAAGGGTGTCTGTGGGACAAGACGGACCTTTGTGATCTTGCTCTACTCAGCGTAGAAGGAAAAAAAAAAACTGAGAATACACATACTAGACCAGTTCGCATCAGTAAAAGCAACAGTGCATTTGTAGTTTTAATCTTGTGTCAGTAAAGTGTCGTAATTTGTTAATTAAAAATTTGTTAACATGCAATTTTGACTATTTAGACAAATGAAAAAAAAAAGTTTTCTTTTTCTCCCCCCCCCTCCCCCACACACACAAACACACACAAAGAAAATTGGGTAATATCCTGAGTTGGACATTTTTTCGAATAATTGCCATGTATAAAAAAAAAAAAGGAGGAGCGGCGATCTGAAAAAGTTTGGAGACCAATGGGCTAGACAGATACACAGGGAGAAGAGCTCGAGAGGGAAAATAAAGCCAGAGACAGAGAGTGGGATAATAAGACAGGTACATATAGAGGGGGGAAGAGGGAAAAGAACGGGAGGGGATAGACGGAAACGAAAAGAGAGAGTGAGGAAGAGGATAAACACAGAGATGTTGATAGGGACCCGAATTAATAAACTGCTTACCTCTTTTAAAATTGTGAGTACCTGTTTAAAGAGAAAATACAAACGTTTTTACAGTGTCGTGTGAAAGAAACTTAAGATTATATTTTTTTTAATGTAATATGTGTACATATCCGTACAGCAGACAAATAAGCATTTATATACATATACACACACACACACACACATACACACACACACACACACACACACATATATATATATATATATATATATATATATATATATATATATATATATATATATATATATATATATATATATATATATATATATATATCACGCAGTCTGCAATGGCAATTTGTATAACAAATTAGATTGCTAGATAAGGGGATAGACTTATGCTTCTTTTTCTTAGTGTACACTGGTTGTAAACTCCGGTGAAGGTTTTTGTTGTTCGTCCATTTCATGGAGTTTTGTCTTGTTCCAGAAATTTAGTTTTGCGTGCACATCTGCTTTACAGATATACCTTTTTTTTTTGTATGCAAACTCTTTGCTCCTGGTGTCTCCGGTAGATACTTTCCGACTTCACAGGTAACTCCTTTAATTGGTCACCTTCTACAACATGCTTGTTAGAAAGGCAGGGGGTCTATCCCCCCCCCCCACCTTCAGAAGGGGCCTCAGAACCCACAGTGGAGGATAGATTTAATAGAGGGGCAGAAATATCATGCGGCACCGTCACTCTCGTCATTGCACGCAGGAAGACCATTTACTTTACCTGTCAACTCCCCCCCCCCCCTTTCCTTGTCAACTGTCATGCCCAGGCTGTCTTGATATTCTGTGTCCACCGTGGTGCTCGCTGACACTTGTTTCTTCTAGGAACTATACCCTCAGTTACTATTGACTCCATCCGAGATAGGTTGAATAACGATACTATCAGATTGATCGTGGGAGCGACACCATGTACTAGATTCTTCAAGAAACAGCAGATCAAGTGGTTTGGTCATCTTGTTAAATTGCATGCAGCTACATCTCAAAAGATCAGATTCACGGGCAATATTTTTTTAATCAAGTTTTTTTTATTAACAATAATACATTTCATATCCTAGTTTATTTTGTCCCAAGACTGCACCAGTTAAACACGTTAAGGCTCAGCGATTGTCACTCTGGTGTGTGTACACACACATACCCACACACCCACACATAGACACACTTCATGATGGACAAATACAATTATTATTGTCTGAGGTTGAATGTGTTAATATTGTAGAGACATTTCATTTTATAAGAAACGATATTGTTCTTCGATACTGGGATCGTGAAGAATGTCAGTATCTTTCCTCATCTTGGGCCCATGACGTTCTAAGAACGTTCTAATCCTTGTGTATTTTTTCTTTGCTTGTAATATTTAAATATATAAAACATAGCCATGAATGTTTTGTGCAATGTTTGTTTATTCTTTTAGTCCGTACTGTGTAGTTTTGGCCATAATGGCCGTCTCAGATCGTCTGTCTCCTGTACTGCCAATAGTCCATATTACAGTGTGTTCTCACACCCAACAGTACCAAACCACTGCCTAACTTCCTTTTCTGTTGTCCGGTTTTCCCCCTCTCGCGACGTGATCAGAGCATATGGATTGTTCTATTCTCATGCAGATAACTAACTCATATTGTGGGCTATTTGTTGTTCAAGACGTTTGCATTACGCTCTTCTTCTGACCATGGCATTCTAATCATTGTTATAGAAAGCTATACATTGTGGCATAACAGTTTTGAAAACACGTATCAATTCCGTTGGCTCTCTTTCTGTTGCATCATCGTGTTTATAGATAGTAATGTTTGCTGCTGTTGCTGCTGCTGCTGCTGCTTCTTCTTCTTCTTCTTCTTCTTCTCCTTCTTCTTCTTCTTCTTCTTCTTCTTCTTCTTCTTCTTCTTCTTCTTCTTCTTCTTCTTCTTCTTCTATTCTTTTTTCTTTGTCCTCTTCTTCTTCTTCTTCTTCTGCTTCCCAGTGGAGCACAGACTCAAATAATTAGTGTCAAGCTCTTTGTGGACTTGTACATGAAGCGCTGTATTTTGCTGTGTTCTATTTGATGAGGTACCCAGTGTCCTAGCAAACCTCCTGTAATCGTCTTTGCGAGATGCACGGTAGTTCAAAATGTTACCTTTTTTTCCCCCCGCTAATTCCCTTGAGTCAATGTACCCCATAGGACTATTTCAACGCTAGCGTATTAACTTGAGGTGAAGGAAACTTGGTGCTGGCATTCTGGCAACTTGCCTCATGTATTTAAGTATCTGTTTGAGCTGCTGGTTTGTTGGAACTGCAGTCGTCTTCGTGTGATCACCTTCGACAGTGATGAACATTTTGTGTCGGTTTCTTTGGTACAGGAATTCAGCTTTTATGAGGTGACCAGCTTGCTGAAAACGCAGTGCTAAATTCCACATGGTTGTGAATCCAGTTATGGCCCCGAGCTGGCTTCTACAAATTGTAGGTATCTGTGTCTGTCAAATCTATTAAATTCGAAGCTAGTTGTGGTGAGACTTGGCAACTGTACATGACTACATTCATTACCGCACTCAGGTGATTGATTTATAAACGTTACTTCTGTAGATTAATTTTGTTTTTGTCTGGAACAATTAGCCAACCCCCCCCCCCCCCCCATCCCCCATCTCTCTCTTTCTCTCCCTGACTTGGAGAAGAGAGAGAGCGCTTATTAACTTGGAGAGATAGAGAGGGGGAGAGAGGTCTTTATCGTATCTCCCTTGATCAGTCGGCCTGTTTTATTTGTATACTTCTGATTAAATAGTGTAATTAATTTTTAACTCAAATCGTATTTCTTAAAGTGACTTTTAGCTCGTGGTTTTCAACCTATCATTGTTTTAGTCTACTTCCGCACAGGTCCTTAAAGATGACAATATTTTAGTCTGGGTGGTTTATTTCTATGTAATATCTAAGGCGTATCAAAATACCATTGTTTTAGTCTACAAAATCTACTTCTATGTATTAATCAAGATACCAGTTTATCAAGATATAAGTGTGTTAGTTTACAAAAACTACTTTTACACTATTTATGGTTTGTTCAGATAACATTGTTTAACTTTACCTACACATTGTGCTTCCATGTGATAGTGAACCAAATAGCTGTCGGCCTGCGTGTCATTACGGTACTGCGTCACAAATTCACAATGTAATTATTTGTACGTCTGGGAAGAGTGATTTGTTTGAGCGCTGGGCCGGTGTGATTTAGTTTTAACTGGATTTTTCCAATTCAAAGTGAAAACAAAGTTGTGTGTTTCCCCTGAGTACATCACTGCTGGAGATGTGAATCAGTAAGATTGAAAACTAGCAGTCTTTTGTTAACGCTTAATTCTTTCTGTCATTATCATCAACCCTCAGTGTTGTGTTAAGCAGTGTAGGGAGAAACATTAGTACTTCAATTGTAATTTAACCCCCCCCCCCCCCCTTTCACCCCCACCCAAAAAAACCTGGGTGCTGCATTTAGGGTAGCTTTAATTAGCTAGAGTTAAAGTTAGGGTTAGCCGTGCTATGAAACAGAGACGCGGCTGCAACAGGTGGCATCGTGAGGGGCGCGGCACAAGCAGTTTTAAAAAAATCATTATCAAAAGTTATTTATAAGAAAATTAATGTTTAAAGTGCCGTATTTTAAAGTTCTACACCGTACCTAAGAAATTTAACCGCACGGCCGTGGTTTGAGTTAGAACATATCGTTAGGTTTAGGGTTATGGTTTTCGAAACACATGTTAAAAAAAGAAAACCGAAATAGGCTGCAAAAGAAAACATCTTCATGTCTCGTGATGTGTCTGGACCATCAGGAAATTTGCCGGATTTCCTTTGTTGGGATGAATTGCAACTGAAGTATTGAAACAGTGTGCGGTCACCGGGATGGCTAACCCGGTCAAGAAATGCCTGCAGAAGTTGGATGTGTCGGCCA